TCTTGTGGGTCTTGGCTCGTCGATATCGTGGTCGTCAATGATTGCTTCTAGACCTTTGTGTCGCTGCCCTGTGGTAACTGTTGACTAGACCTTTTGGGATTGCTTCTAGACCGTCTTGTCGCTGCCCTGTGGTAACTGTTGACTAGACCTTTTGGGACCACACCGATGTCCACACCGATGACTTGTGGATTGAATTCCTGACAATAGGATGCTGTGTGAATTGCTCACGTTGAGATATTATCATTGAGCTGACCGGCCCCGAGCAATTCATTAGTAGTTGGTTTTACTCCTCAAGTTCCATCATCTGGATTTGAACACAGGTCTGTATTTCAACAGTTTATGGGTGTACCTACGAGGCTCTTGTTTTTTTTTTTAACGTATTTTTCGACGACACGTTTTGCAGCGAATACATTGGGTCTTATCGAACGTCTTCAGTGTATCGGGACCATTTATCAGATCGAGATACATTTTCAGTTTTAGTTAAGAATGCTGTTCCGATCGGAGCCATGCCTCTGATCGTCAGCGGGTCGGCGGTTTCGAGCAAAGAACGGACCCCCGACCTTGCTCCAGTAGGTCAGAGCTTTCTACGTGCATCTGTACGGGCCCAACATTTTCAATGTATCTGGATGGATATGCATGCCAGAAACGTTTCTTATTTATATTGTATTGTTTCCATACAATGTTCTCCAGTGCAGCGACGCGCCTCCGTCGATCGTCGTGGCTCTTTTTTTTTTTTTTTTTTTTTTTTTTTTAAATTTGGACTATTTCTCGATTTATGCGTGTCATTCTTGCGCAGGGGCCATGCTAATCTTCAGTCTCTGTATCGTTCCAATTTTTTTTTCGTCGTGGCTTTTGGAGGAACCAACCACCTCACTCACATGAAGTAGTGTAATCGCCCCCAGAACCACTCACCAAATGCACAAAAGACAAAAACAAATGGCAGTGTATATTTCCATTTTTTAACGGGAGATTCATTTTCATTTTGCACACATTTGGCGAGTAGTGCGGAGGACCGACGAGCCAGTTTCGCTGCTTTTGGGAGAAAACGGAAAAAAAAAAAAAAAGGAAGGGGCTGCTTAGCCGCAGTTAGGGTTTGGGACAACGTTTGATTGGTAGACAGTGCTTTTTTTTTTTTTTTTTTTGTTTTTCCATGAAAAGCTATGTTCTTCTCTCGAATAATGGACCTTATATTCTGAAAAAAATAAAAAGAAAAAGAAAAAAGAAAAGAAAAGAAAGGCAGAGCCATTGATGAAGTATTCCTAACTGGGGGGGCGCCAACGGGCCTCCAGGGCCGAGGTCCCATTAGCAAAGAGGTTCGGATCGAATGCGTGAATGTGGACGTGTTTTATGCAGAGATGCAGAAAAGCAGTTCAATCTTGATTTCCTGCACCTCTTGACAAACACATCCAGATTCAGGCATTCGATCCGATCCTCTTTGCCAGTGGAACCACGCCCCAGAAGCTGCTGCCTCGCCCTTTCAGGGCCTCGCCACACCACTGTCGAAACGAAAACAGAGGGAATGCATCTGCGTCAGAAAGTGGTAAGATGCATCCATTGCTATTCATAGTATGCATCCATTGCTATTCATAGTAACGGATGCATCTTACCCTCGTCCGCCGGCAGATGCATTCGTTCATTTTCCATTTCGACGCTGGTGTGGCGAGGCCCTTAGCCTGTAGCCAGGGACAGGGAAAAAGAAATCCCAAAGTTTGTATGTAAAAAATTCGAAGGAAAAAAAAATAAAAATAAAAGTACAAAATTCAAAAGAAAAAAAAAAAAAAAAAAAAAAAAATCCAAAGAAAAAAAAAAAACCAAAAAAAAAGCCAAAAAAAAAAGCCAAAAAAAAAAAAAAGGCAACCCCCCCCCCGAAAGGAGCAGCCTTCTTTCTAAAAAAAAAACAAGAAAAAAAGAAGATAAGGTCCTTAGTTCCAATTTTATCGGGGTGTCCTAGTTCCAATTTTATCGGGGTGTCCTAGTTCCAATTTTAACGGGGTGTCCGTAGATCGACACTATATATTTTTTTGTTTTTGTTTTTTACCTCTTATCGACGACCTTTTTTTTTTTTTTTTTTTTGGACTGCGACATTTCCTCCCCCCCCCCCTTTATGTCGATTTATGCGTGTCCCCTCCTGCCCGTGCATTCCACTGTGTGCTCAAGGGTTTGTTGTTGTTCAGGATAGAACAACGGCAACGACTAACGGTTAAGGTACCTGGACTGGAATATGGGGTATGTTCATAATTAACAGTGTTATCGTAATACTCTTGTAACGGACAAGAAGGGGTGAACTTGATAGCGTTGAGTAGGGGGTGAACTTGAGGGATGATGATCTGGCTGATGGAGAGGGACAGAGGGAGGGAGGGCGGAGGAGCGCGGAGTGGGCGCGCAGGGTGGGGAAGAAGGAGCGCAGGGAAATGACCGGGGAAGGAGGGGGGGGGGGGGTGTATAAGGCAGGCTACGCGAGGAGGACACGTCAGCGTGGTTGATCGAAACGTGGCAGATCGGTTGAAGGAAATTGGCGGGAAGGAGTTTGAGAGACGCGCGGACTAATTACGGGACACGTGAGCGGGAACGCGTGTAATTAGGACAAGCAAGCAGGAGGAGGGGAGAGAGAGGGGGAAGAGGGGGAAGAGGGAGAGAGACGAGAGAGGAGGGATAGGGGAGAGGAGGATAGGGGAGCGTCATCATCAGCGTACGTCATTCCTCGTCGGAGCGATTGCCACGTGGATTATCGATATCCGCGGCAGATCTATGTCTATCTCGAAGAAGAAGGGGAAGCTAACAGGCGGGCAGCTGCAGGTCGCTTTATCCAGTGAGCATCAAGGGGATAGGAGGTGAAGGAGAAGGACGGACGCCAGAGAGAGAGAGAGAGAGAGAGAGAGAGGACAGTGCACGTCGGAGGGAGGAGAAGAGGGGGGAGTATATAGGTAAGTGGATGGTGAGATAAATAGATGTATAGATAGGTGAAAAAAGAGAGAGAGAGAGAGAGAGAGAGAGAGAGAGAGAGAGAGAGAGAGAGAGAGAGAGACGCTTGCGATCTGGTTGGGAAAAGGTATTGTCTGTGTAAAAGGTTTGTTCCACTAGCTAATCGATCATTTGTCGTTTTGGGTATATATACTTCGGATATATTTTGGATATAATACTTATTTTTGGTTTTGCAGTTCGGATTATATATTTTGGACAGACTACATTTTTGTGAAAGTGACCTTATATCTTTTTTTATCCTTTTTTATCCATTTATCCCTGTTATTCCCCCTTACTCTGTTTTTTTCTTTTTTCTTTTTTTCAGTTCGGGGTTCATCCTTGTATCATCCTTTTATCCTCTGGGCGTAGTCTTTCACGTGCCTTTGCAGTCCAACGGTGAAGTAGGTGGTTCGACTCCAGTGGCATCATCACGCATTGACTGTGTGGTGCAGGTTAGCTTGCCGTTGATTGGAAGGAAAAAGGGAAAAAAAAAAGAAGAAAGAAGCTAGGAGCTGATCCGGTATATACTAAGTATAGTAATTAATGGTTTATATTTGATTTTTAAGGTCTAACCAATCAATACACAAAGTTCTTTTCTATTGTTTCCTTGTTTCCCGCGTTTTCTGTGGGTCTGGATTCGTTCCCGCTTTTTTCGACGGATACGTTCCCGCGTTTTTCAACGGATTCGTTCCCGCTTTTTCCCAACGGATTTGTTCCCGCTTTTTTTCGTCGGATTCGTTCCCGCGTTTTTTAACGGATTCGTTCCCGCGTTTTTCAACGGCTGGATTGTCTTTCGTTATCCGTTAAAGATCGATAAGATCAGCTCTTCGCGGCTTGATTCGTTAGTCTGTTATGCGGATTGATGGATGGATGGATGGATTGGTTGGATTGATTGATTGATTGATTGATTGATTGATTCCGTGATCGAGTAAATCTCATTATCAGCCCTTCGCGGTTGGAGTTGTCGTTCTCTTACCAGGACTAATTGATTGATTGATTGATTGTTTGATTGATTGATGGATCCGGTAATCTGTGGTGATCTGTTTCTCTCTCTCTCTCACTGAATGCGAGTTGCTGCTGTCGTTATTTCTAAGGACATATTGACACTGGATGAACCTGACCTTAATCACGTCCACATTCAGGCAATAATAGAGTTGTAGTGTGACTACGCCCTGACAAACCCGTTCCGACGACAGTTGGAGATCGCACCGTCTCTCCCTTCCCCTCTTTTCCGTTTCCATCTCCCTCTCTCTTTCTGCCTCTCTCTCTTCCTCTCCCTCTCTCTCTCCCTCTCCCTCTCTCTCTCTCCTTTTCGCGCGTTCGTGCTCTCGTCCTTCTCTCTTTCTTCCCCCTTTTCCACTTCCCTTCTTCGCCATATCTAGTTTTTCCTCTTTTTTTCTACTAGTCCTCTGTATATCTCGTTGACAGAACTGCACCTCTCTCTCTCTCTCTCTCTCTCTCTCTCTCTCTCTCTCTCTCTCTTTCTTGCTCGCGCTCCTTTGGTTCGCATTTCCTCTTTCGGCACATCTCCTGTAGATAGACAAACGTTGTTTTCGTTTTCTTTCTTTATCTTCCATTTGTGAAGTGTGTGCGCTAAGGGACTCTCTCTCTCTCTCTCTCTCTCTCTCTCTCTCTCTCTCTCTCTCTCTCTCTCTCTCTATCTGCAAGGTTAGGGGATCGAACCTAGAACCTGGGACTTGGTACTGTACGTAGGACTCGGGGATTACCGTAGTCAGCACAGCGCCTGCCGGGCAACTTGCCCCGTTCTCTCCTTCACTGGCTTCTTCTTCTCCACCCATCACGGACGGCGGCTAGTCGTGAATCTGAACGGAAAACGGTCCAGATTCACTGAAGAAGGGTTTCTTATTCTGTGCAGGTAACGCCAGAATCTGTACGTACACCGATCCTTCTGTGAATTTTCGCCTACCGATCGCCATTGCGTCTCAGATGTCTCTTTCTGTTGCCGCTGACTGCTTTATGTTGTTGAATATCTTCTTCGCGTAGTGTTTTTTTTTTTTTTTTTTTTTTGCACAGATCCGACAACTGTGGAATATCTTTTTTTTTTTTTTTCCTTATTAGTGAATATCTTACCTAGTTCGAATCTGAGATATGCGAGAATCCGTTCGTACACCGATCGTGCGGTGAACTTTCACCTATCGATCGCCACGTCAGCGTATTTTACCGTCCGTCTGTTGATTCCTTGCCGCCGATTTTTTTTTTTTTTTTTAACAACAGATTTTCGTCTCTCTCTCTCTCTCTCTTCCCCCCC